CTATGTCGATACTTATTCCTCAGTTACAACGTTTATATCCATTAGAATAATTTTGGCAAACGTTACAAACTATGACCTAGAACTTTACCAAATGGATGTAAAGACTGCATTCTTGAATGGTGAACTAAAGGAAACCATCTACATGAAGTAACTTGAGGGCTTCATAATTAAATGTCAAGAAAATAAAGTATATAAATTAAATAAGTTTTTATATAGTTTAAAACAATTGTCAAGATAATGATACTTAACATTTTATGATATCATCCTATAGATGGGATATGAATTAAATAAATTAGACCATTATGTATATGTCTTGAAGAGTGGGAGTAAATTCACAATACTCTCATTATACGTAGATGATATCCTGATAGCTGGAAATGACTTAGAAATGATTGATAAAACTAAGTTATGACTTTCTTCTCAATTTGAGATGAAAGATATGGGAGAAATATCTTATGTCCTAGGCATAAAAATAATTGGAGATAAAAAATACAAAATGTTGTGCTTGAGCTTAGAGAGATATCTTGACTCTGTTATTAAAAGATTTCAAATGGAAAATTGTAAGCCATTGTCTACTCCTGTTGAAAAGGGAGTAAAGTTGTCTAGGAAGGATTGTCTAGCAGAAGGACAAGAAAAACCTGATGTTCCATATGCAAGCTATTGGTCGCTTGGTATATGTAGTAAGATGTACAAGACCAGATTTGAGTTATACCGTAGGACTTGTTAGTAGATATCAAAGTAATCTAGGCATAGCTCATTGAAAAGCAATGAAAAAAATTCTAAGGTACATTAAGAGAACCAAACATTTAAAATTGTGCTTTTAAGCAGATAAGCTTGAAGTTATAAAATATTCAGATACAGATTTTGCTGGGGATAAGAACAATAGTAAGTCTACCTTAGAACATATTTTCCTCTTTGGAAGGACTGTCGTTTCTTGGTCTAGCAAGAAACAAGGTTGTGTAGCTAGGTACATACAAGAAGCATAATACATTACATGTAGCATTGCCTGTACTTTCGTCGTCTGGATAATGCGCTTCATAGATAACTTAAAGCTGCAAATAATCGACAGACCGATCCAAATATTTTGTGACAATCAAGCTGCAATTAAATTAATTCAAAGTGGAGAAAATAACTCCAAAGGAAGACATATAGATATCAAATATCACTACATTTAGGATGTAGTTGAGAAAGGTGAAGTAACCGTTAGTTACTTGCGCTCATTAGATATGATCATTGACCTATTAACCCTTTGTTAATGGGACTTAAAAATGTCTAAGTCAGCTATTTTTTTTCATGAGTGACAAAACCGCTTAAGTGTAAAAATCTTCATGACTAGACATTAACAAAGTGTGCTTAGACAAGTGTTGAACTATTGTCTAAGCACACTTTGTTGAACTATTGTCTAAGTGCACTAGTTTAATGGGACTTAAAAATGTCTAAGTCAGCCATTTTTTTTTATGAGTGACAAAATCCGCATAAGCGTAAAAATTCTCATGATAGACATTTGTTATGAGAGGCATATCCACGAAAGAGTGAGAAAAACCTCGTGACAAGAAATTTGCTTAAAGGGTCATACTCAAAATTCGGAGTATGCATGTGACTGATTATCACGCTCAGTTGTTATGGTCAAGTGGGAGATGTTGACACGTATGGTCATAAGGCCTCGCGTGACTTTACCTACCATTTTGGGAGGAATGCTATGGTTATCCAACGTTCACATAAACCAATGTTCATATGAATGTTGGATGGATATCCCTAGGATCAAGGAAGACCTTTCTCAGATACCCATTGGAAATATAACCGTTAAAGCCATTTTCTTCTCCTTTAAAAAAGGGAAGCTAGAGAGAAGAAGAACGCAGCAATAAGAGAAAAAAAAACACAGAGCTTTTGTGAACAAAAATAATTTATTCACTCACTCTAAAGGGCAAGAAAAATCCGGGCTCCGCAATCACCAGCCTCAAGGCATCTCTTCTTTGATCTCGGGTTAGTCTCGCGCTCCACCAATTTTCGCTAACACCGAAGCCATGGATGTAGCCTTACAAGATGAACCATGTAAATCTTATATCATTGATGTTGGCATTTTGTTTTTACTTTATTTTTCTATATATTTCCCAAATTTATTACACATGCTATTGCTCTTGGGAGTTTTATTTTGGTATTGGATTTTATGGAAAGAAAAAGAACAAAAGAAAGAAAAGGAAACAAAGGCTTAAACAGGGCTGGCCCTATTATGGCCTTAGTCTAAGCCCAGCACAGCCCAACTCTTGGACCGTGATGGCTCCATCCTAGCCTGGCCTTTAGGCCACAATCTTCGCCCATGCCCTAGTTTTTTAAGGCTAGGCTGATAGGACCTGCTAAGCCACCTGACCCATTACTAGCCCTATTCAAAATGGTGCACCTTTATTCAATAGTAGAAGCTGGACACCTCATATAAACTTTGTGGTTCTTAAAAGCGGATAGTTTATGAAGGGGGCAATTATGGTCCATTACTCCTTTTAGTCATGTGGCCTCGGGAATATTAGTTTGATAATCTAAAATAAAAGATCTGGAATCCAAAAAAATGCAAGATATCAACAATAAAAGATTATAGGGAATGGGGTTGGGGTGGTGGTGGTGGTAGCACTACTTGTGCCCCAAGTAAAGTCTAAGCTTCCATTCTCGCCTAACGCCTTCAAAAACACCAATAACGGTTTAGAAAACGGTTAATGGCTCGTCATCTCCACTGAATTACCCAAAAAAAGGATTAATATATATATA